GCTGCGCAGTGCCGCCAAGGAGGAGGCCACCGCGAAGACATCCGAAGGTACGGCAGTCGGGTCGTGATCAAGATGCTGGAGGGGGTCCGGGGAGTGCTCGTCCAGGTGGCCGTCGGGCTCCCCCCGGCCGGTGCCGGTGCCGGTACGGGTGTGGGTGTGGGTGTCGGGACCAGCGGCGGCGGCAGCAGTAGCAGCGTGCGTGCTGCTTCCATGGCGAGAGCCCGGAGGCAGCTGGAGGCGGTCGGTGCTTCGACGTCGGACAATGTCCTGCAGAGGGGGAAGACGGGTGTGCGCATGAAGCCCCTCCACCACCACCTCCAATGATGTACACACGGCATATCGTGCATATAATAAATATATTGCACGAATCTAACGGCGCTATACTGTACGATGCTTCACCCCACAGTAAGATACTGTACAACATCGTACAAACCAGTTGCAACATCGTAGAAAAGGAAGTAATTAAAATATGTGCGTGCCGTATACACGTTTACTCCCCGTCGTACCTGGTGTTGTTGGCGCTGGCTGTGCTGCTGCTGTGTGGCTTGTTGGAACCTGGCCGTGACGGTCTCCAGGATGCTGGCTGACGGGGACTGGCTGGCGGCCTCCAGACGAGCGCCCAGCCGGCGACCCCGCTCCTCCACCTGCTTCAACTCGTCCTGTAGGGTGAGGGCAGGGGTGAGGGCAGGGGTGAGGGCAGGGGTGAGGGCAGGGGTGAGGGCAGGGGTGAGGGCAGGAGTGAGGGCAGGGGGGAGGGCAGGGGGGAGGGCAGGAGTGAGGGCAGGGGGGAGGGCAGGGGGGAGGGCAGGAGTGGCGACGCCGGGGAATTAGCGAGCACCTAACACAGCGGGCGGAAGGGGGAAAGGGCCACATAGGGGCCCGGGGTACTCGGTTGCCTGGGTGCGGGTGGATGACACGCTGCGTCGTTGCGAGCAAGTGCCACATCACATCACATCACATCACATCACATCACATCACATCACATCACATCGCATCACATCACATCACATCACATCACATCACATCACATCACATCACATCACATCACATCACATCACATCACATCACATCACATCACATCACATCACATCACATCACATCAAATCACATCACATCACATCACATCACATCACATCCCATTACATCACATCACATCACATTCCATCACATTCCATTACATCACATCAAATCACATCCATCACATTCCATCACATCCATCCCATCCCTTCCCTTCCCATCAATTTACATCACATCCCATCCATTCCCTTTCAATCACATCATATTCAATTCCCAACCGGAACCCCCGGANCGGTGTCCGGCGTGAAAATGTTTTTGCGGGCCCGACCGGGGTGCACGGGGCGGGGGCACCCAAGGGCACGCAAGGGGCTGCGCCAATGTGTGCCGGCGTGCCGGGATCGGCTCATGGGGAGAGGGGCGAGGCAGGTGGGACAGGGGGGAGAGGGGGGAGGGGGGGAAGAGTGGACAGGGGGGAGGGGGGGAAGAGGGGACAGGGGGAAGAGGGGTAGCCTGCACCGTACCCGGGCGCAGATAGCAGAACCCCTCCGAGGAACCTTCCCGCCCCCGTTACCTCCCTCACGTTAAGCCCCCACTTCCACACCCACACCCGCACCCACACCCACGCACCTGCAGTACCGCCAGCTGCTCCCCGATGGTCATATTGGGAGGCAGCGGCAGCAACCCGCCCCCTGGACCCAGCGGCGGCAGGAGGGGGCTGTAGGAGGCGCTGGAGGGCGTGACGGCACCCACCCCCCTGTTGTTCCGTGACCCGTGGGTCTGTGGACAGGGGGACTGGCGGTGGCCAGTGACTGGGGTGCTGAAGGGAACTGCGGGCGGGCAGCGGAAGAGCACCTGCAGCACTCATTGAGGGTCCCGGGGAGGGAGGGGGGGGTGAGACCGGCAGAGGGGCTCGGCAAACTGTGTGCGGGTTGGACAAGGGACAAGACGGGGTGGACCGGGCCTGGAGGTGTGTCTAACGTAAACCCCCGCCTAACTGAATCCATCCGGACCTGTGACCGGAATGGGGGCCTCCCCTTTTTAGTGTCCCGCCTCCTCCATGCCTTGCGTCGTACCGTACGGTGTCGTACCTTATCGTGCCCTGCCCTGCATGCGATCCTATTTTGGCAGCGCCCTTCCCTGCTAACAGTTCATCGTATGAGACAGCGGGTCAGGCACACTGAACCGGCAACATCGTAACCTCCCCACAACCCCGTCCGAGCCGTGGGGAGGAAAGAGCTTGTCACGGGGACCGCTGTCTTCCCTCGGCATGTGACACAGCTCCCTGCTCCACACACACACACACCCAGACCGCTCCTCCGCCGCCGCTCCCCCGCCCTACCCTACCTGCGCCGCGTTTTCATGCCGCAGGAGGGGCCCGTCCCCTACCGCAGTGGCGGTAGCGGCAGCGGCAGCAGTGGTGACATCCATGTCGTGCTCGTGGTCATGGTCGTGTGGGAAGCCCCCCAGGAGGTGCCCCCCCTTCGTGTTGGCGTCCAGCATGCAGCCCAGACTGCCCAGGTCGGGAACCATGGAGAAGGAGTCACGCAGCGGGTCGCGGGGGTCCACCTGGGGATGGGGTGGGGTGGGGTGGGGTGGGGTGGGTGGGTGGGGTGGTGGCGGGTGTGTGGGAGGCAGGGGAGGAGGGAAGGAGGGAAGGAGGGAAGGAGGGAAGGAGGGGGTGTAGCAGGGGGAAGTAGAAAGAAGCGGTATAGGAGCGGCTGCTTGACTAGTTGGGTGTTAGGTCGGTTGGGCAGTTAGGTAGTTGGATGCTAGGATGGTTGGGTAGTTTGGTAGTTGGACGTTAGGTCTTCTGGTAAATGGGGGGAAGAAGGTAATGGTGGCTGGTGTGGATGCCACATGTGCCGAGTGGCGGTGACGGCAAGGACATCCGCCAAGCTGCGTTGTGTCACCCCCGTCACCCCACACCCCTCACTCGTACAGTCAATCGCCTCCTCCTCCTCCTCCACACCCCAAACCGCTCTACCCCCAGGCGCGCTCCCATCTCCCCTCCTCTCCCCTCTCCTCCCCTCTCCCAAGCTGGCCACGTCGCCGCCACACTGGTCACCCCCTCCCCTCCCTCCCACCCCCCTCCCCCCCACCCACCTGGCGGTCCGACCACTGCCGCCCC